TGGGACCAGAAATAAAAGCATAACAGTGATCATGATGATGCTAATCATTTGAAAAAGGGCGAGGTGTCCTGCTGGAGGAAGGAGCCGTGTCCCAAGGCCGGGGGAGGCTCATTGTCCCCAGCCCCGAGCAGCAGGACCCAGCTGAGCATCCCGCCCGGATCCCTCTGCATTGTCCCTCCCAGGCTTTTCAAACTCCGGGATCTGGGAAAAGCACAAACCTTTCCCTACCAGGAGGAGCAAAAAGCTGTTTGTTTCCACTGGTTTGGTTTTTTTTTTTTCCTCCCTGTTATGTTTTCTCAGGAAGCAGAGCCACGGCAGGTCCACAGCGAGCGCTTTCCTGGGCTGTAAAATTCCCTATTATCCACTTCTGCTTCCTTTGCTGTGGGATTTAAGGATGCCTCCTCCTTGAGACCAGGGATATGTCATCATTTTGTTGGACTACCAGCTCTGACAGCCTTGTCTCTCCCAGTTTGTGCTCACAGTGCTGGGAAAAGAAAAGGGAGAAAGCTGAGAGGGAGAAAAAAAAAAATCAAGGGGAAAATCCAACTATGACTAAATTCTTCCCTAATCTATTCCTGTTATTTCTCCTGCTGCAAAAATAAACTCTGTATATAAAAAAGAGCCTTAAATTAAGGTCTCTTGCTCCCAGTGCATTTTGAAAAGAGTTATTTGAATCCTTGGCTGATCTATTTTAACAAATATCATCTCCCGCGTCCATCACTCCTCCTGTCTTTTTGATCTCTTTTTTCCTACTTATCATGTTCTTTATTTGAAACAGATTTTTAACAGATAATCTCCGCCGTTATAACAATATCTTGCTCGCATTTTATTCAAATAATTCTTAAAAACAGCTTAAAAAGCCGTTTGGAATAACATCAAGCTCTCCATCAATCAAACAGCAAAAATTCCGCTGGCGGTTGTATAAACATCAGATCAACTCCGACGTCTTCAAGGATTTCAGAGCAAACCATAAAAAACTCCATTAACTTCTGACAAAGAATGCAAATTAATCACAACATGGGGTGAAATGAAATTAAAGGCTCTTTTCTAATCAATGACAAGGCAGGATGAAATATTTGGTGCCGGGATGCTCCCGATTTTTTTCTTTTTTTATTTTTATTTTTTCCCCCCGCGTGGAAAAAGGGGGATTCACCCGGGGTGCCTCTTTAGCCCTCCCCATCCCTACAGCGATCTGCTTACAAGTCGCCCCAGCTCCACAAAACACACTAATCATCCGAATCTCAGGTGCATCCAATTTGTTATTCACACTCTCCCGGTGCCAAGAAAAAAAAAAAGGGAAAAAAAAAAAAGAAGGAAAAAAAAAAAAAGAGAAAAAAAAGCCTGGCGTAGACAGATGCACCGGGAACCTTAAATGACAGTTTTGGCCTCCGGAAGTGCGATCGCTACAGCAAAATCTAGTACAGCCTCCAGGTGAAATGTCTGGAGCTCCATATGGAGCAGGGAAAATTAACAACAAGATGAAAATCGCTGTAGCAGCGGGGAGTCGGAATTTAACAAAAAAAAAAAAAAAAAGAGGGGAAAAAAAAAGGAAAGGAGGAAAAAAAAAAGGGGAAAAAATTTTAAAGATGAGGCAAGAGAAGTAATAAATTAATGGGGTGTGAAAACATTCAAAGCTTTACAATACCAGGGGCAGTATTTGCTCAGATTTGGGGGGGAGCAGCAGGATGGGAAGGGGGGGGAATGAGGGATGGGAATATTTTTGGTGCTTTTTCCTTTAAAAAAAAAATAATAAATCAGGTCGTTTTCATAGGAATTATTAAGAGAAGGCTGGGATTGTGTTTTTCTAAATGTAGAAGTGTGGTGGTCCTGCAGCTGCTGGATGCTCCTTTGGAATATTTCCCTGATGGATGCACCATCCTTTTCACACCCTGCTTTGTATAAAGTTTCACTACAAGCCGAGAATATTTAGTGGGCAATTCTTTTCATTTCTCCTAAACTGCATTATCATTAAGCAAGGCATTGCCCCCACCGTGGTTTTATTGGTGGAATTTCAATCTCTGGGGTTCTCTGTGAGGTTTGGTCGGATCTTTGGGGTTCAAATCTCAAATTTAATTAAATATTCGAGGTGCCGTGGCCTTTTGGGGTATCTCTTTTTCTTTTCAGTTGTTTGTGTAAAATCAAAATAATGTAAATTAAGGTGAAACTTTTAAAGGAAAATTTAAAACTCATTTTCCTTGCATGCCATCCCTAAAAAGCTGGAGGGGTAATGGACCAGCACCCTTGGAAAAAGGGTTTCCTTTATTTTTTTAATGTTTATGTAGAAAATAACTCAATTCAAGGGTATTTGTGAGCACCTGCACCATTCTTATTAATTGAGTGATGCAAATAAATCCAGGGTGAATTTGCCCTTAAAAAGTTAGTTTTGTACCCAAGGAAAATCCTACAAGCATCGTTCCTCCCGCTTCCAAAGGGACTTTTACATTTTACAAAAGCACACTCCAAGACCATGACAGGAAAACCAACAACAAAACAATGAAACGCACCAAAAATTCAGATATTTACTCCATTTTAAGTCTTAGGAGTTCCCTGTGCAAAGTTTTTAGAGCAGAAAAGTCAGTTCTGAGCATCCCTATTTGTTATTTCCCTGCTCAGATCATTCCCTTTTGCTGTTAGAGGCTGGTTATGAAGATTATATTTGTATATTGAGATTATGAAGATTTTATTCTGTATACAGAGACAGAAAAATATAATTAGAGGTAATAATTATCTATTAACTCCAAACACACCTGTAAGGAACTTTACTAACACAGCTCAAAGTGCTTTCAAGATGAGACTTAATTGTAAAGATTAAATAATGATTAATAAATCAGCAAAATAAACACTTATAAAATAAATACTTATCAAAGATGTGGGAAATGAGAAGTGGGAAGTCCTGCCATGAAAATATTCTACTAAAGGCCAGAAAATGAAATAATCATCCTTTACTTTAACTGGCAGATTGCAGGATGTCCTGAATTTCCACACTGCAGTGATTTCCCCCTATAAATCTTCTTCATTTAAACTGAATTTACACACACCATTTGTCTGTGTCTTAAAAATAAAGGAAAAAAAATACATTTTTTGCAGCTGCAGCTGGAGACAAACATCCATTTGTAGGAAATTTCAGGTGTTCTCACCCACGTGGCCACACTCTCCATTTTCACAGGGAAGCAACTTGGAGGTTTTTAGGGACAAATTCAGAACCACACGTGTGATTAACTTCATTCCCTGAATAACCCCACTGAAGCGAGGAGGAATTTCTCAAGGAATGAGCAGAATCAGGCCCTTACTAGGAAAACAGAGATTAAAAACCCCCTATTAATTATCCCCCTAACCAAAGAAGGTTTCTAAGGGCTCTCCTGCCCAGCACATGCCTAAAATACATAAATTCCCATAAAATCCCTTCTGAAAAGCAGTTGCTTGAAAAGCTTAATAGCCACATTTTAAAAGTTTCACCTCCTCGACTGTTTTGCATTAAAAAATATATACAATTTCATGGACTACTGCCTTGCCAAATATTCTTTCACAAACCCGATCTGCTTTTTAATTAGAACAGCAAAAACATCTTTAAACTTGGCAATCATGGTCTGCTCCCAGTTCAGGGAGACATTTTTGCCTGGAACCACATGGAATGTCCATGTTCCAACCTCCTTCTCCCTGCTCTGACCTGTCCATCAGGTTTATTTTGAATTGTCCCCTCACCACTTTGGATTTTAGGTTGTAAAGCTCCTAAACACAACCACTGAGACCCTCAGAGCTCCCCAAGCATGGAGGGCTCTTCAACACAAGAGTTTCTTTTCCAATCCTCTCCTCCAAAAACACATTTAAAATCCAGATAAAATATTCCAAGTCTATTCTCTTTTGCAGAGGAAACAAAAAAAAAGTGAAAAATCAGAATATTTCCACCCAGGCAAAACCTTCCCAAGTCTGTAAAAGTGTCAGGAGAATTTGCTTAAAACAGCTTCTAAAAATGGGAGAGGGAATGAGTCCCAGCCTATTATTCAATAACCATGTTTGTGAGGCATCTGCATAATCTAACCATGCATAAATTAGTATGTGTATTACAACAGTTATTTGCATAATAATAGCAAGTTAATAGATGCTTAAAGAGCACAGACCAACACCACCTTTAAATCAGACATGCCTCCAGGCACTGCGAGCTGTAGAGACCAAGATGCAGAGAACAGTCTTCGTAAAACATATGAAAACATAAAAAACCACATTCAAATAATTCATTTTTGTCCCTGAACACTTCACTTCTTTCCCCCCTCTCTCTGGAAAGAATAATTGGAGGAAGTGCTGAACAGTTTGTTCCTGTGAATTCTAACATCCATCTCGAGATGAGAATTTCAAGTAATCGCCAAAGCCAGTTCTGGATTTGTTTTGTTCAGAGCTTCATGGGGTTTTTAAGTGTAAAAAGTAAAATATTGGTGGTGATGCAGAGCTCAGCATCCACCCAACCCCTGCCACCAGAGATGGAAAGAGTTGTACCAGCAGCTTCAGGTGGAAACTTAGAAAATACCAGTATTTACATCAAATATTAATATTAGGTCCTCTTCAAAGGAAGAATCTGGAGCTCCCTTAAGTATTCCACTCACATTCTATTTTTGAGGAGATTTTAGACCATTGTACCATCATTCAAAATCAGAATTAAAAATTAAAATTATAAGGAAAGGAGCAGATACACCTTCCTGCTTTTAAAAAAAATGTTGTAAAGACTGGATTATTTTTTAATCTCCCAACAAAATTAACAAGACTAACATAATCATAATTTTCATTGTCTCCAGGGAAAGAAAACAGAATTTGGAGAAGAGAAAAAGAGGGGGGCAAGAAAAAAAAAAATCAATAGAGACTTCTAAATGACTCCTTCCAGCTCCCACTTTTCAATTTAACAGGACAGATTTATTTGTATGTGGCTCAAATGTTCACAATTGCTCTCTGCACCTTCATACATAGGAATGAATGTCACAGTGGCAAACAGCAGTAATGAACAATCTTACCTGAGGATATGGAAACCTCCCAAGAGCAAGCTGGGAAAGGAAATAATATTTGTCTAGTTATAGAGATTTGCATGGAGGGCACATTTCCTTCAAGTGAGAGAAGTACTCAACTCTCACGATGGCAGGAATTGGGGAAATGGCAAAAAAGGGATTCTGCAGACACAAAGAGCTGTATTTAGAATGGGCCCTTCACAACCATCACCCCTGGTTTTTCTGGGGATTTCCCTCAGTGCCACCCTTTGATGCTCAAATTCAGGCACATTTCCTTCAAGAGAGAAATATTCCCAGCTCTCAGGAGAAAATGGCAAAAAGAGACTCTGCAGACAAAAGGAGCTGTATTTAGAATGGGCCCCTTACAAGCAGCACCCCCCAGGATTTCTGGGTTTCTCCAGCCCTTTTATTTCTCTCAGTGCCACCCTTTGATGCCCAAATTTGTGCACATTTCCTTCAGGAGAGAAAAGTTCTCCACTCTCACAATGGCAGAAATCGAAATGGCAAAAAGGGGTTCTGCAGACACAATGAGCTGTATTCAGAATGGGCCCTTCCCAATCACCACCCCTCGTTTTTCCCAGGATTTCTGGGTTTCTCCAGCCCTTGTGTCTCCCTCAGTGCCACCGCTGGATGCCCAGGTTCCCCAGGAGTGGAAACGAAACCAGTTCAGCCTCAGCAGGGAGGCCAAGGCACTGCCCTTTGCTGGTAATTATCTGTGATGAGCAGGCAGCTCTCAACTCCCAAAGTCCTCCCTTAACTGGCTCAGGGTAAAATCTGGGTTACAGAGCTGAGCTTGGTGTCCCTGCTGGTGACAAACCTGAGTGGGATGTGGGGAGAGCCCTCATCCTTCCCCCAGATCCACTTTTCCAGGATATCGACTGCATTTGCTGCCCCTGCTGCTGTAAGTTAATTCAGGCGTTACAGAGTAGTCCCAAAATCAGGATTTTTATGGATGTTGTCTAAAAAATTCCACTGGCCATAACTAATGAACACTCCAAGAGAAATTCTTTGTACTAGGCAGGTTCTCCCACTCGTTGGGAAACCCTGGAAACAACTCCAGCAAAATGCAGCTGCTTGGAGTTTTTTTGTCTCCTGTTGAGTGAAGGATCAAGGTTTTCAGGGTTAGAATCACAGAATCTTTTGGAAAAGCCCTGGGCTGGGGATACCTGAGCTGGCCACACTGATGCCTCAGGTTTAGATTTCAGCCCTCTCAGATCAAATCCAACCATCCCCAGCACTGCCAAGGCCACCACTGCCCATGTCCCCCAAGTGCCACAAGGCTGTTAAATGGGACGTGACTCCAGCAGCTTTACCAGTGCTTGAAAACCCTTTCCATGAAGGAATTTTCCCTGATATCCACACTTAACTTCCTCTGGCACACCCTGAGCTGACCCAGGGCATTGAGAGCAGCTCTATTCTGTCTTTCTAGGTGTGCCACAGGGGAGCCAAGAGCTTCCCTACAGCCCACACAACCTTTGAGAATCCTCCTGTCACCAACTGCAGAGGAAGGCCTGGCCCTGAGGCTATGGCTGCAGAGAAACCATGGATTTCCCAGGATAAACTCATTCCATTCCCACCATCCTGAGCAAGAGCAGCAGTGCTGAAGGTCTGAGCCACTGTGTCACCCATAGCAAGGGACAAAATCACAGCAGGGCTGGGCAAAGGCACTCCCAGCCCTGCCCTGGCACTGCCCCCTGGGCTGGGGATACCTGAGCTGGCCACACTGATGCCTCAGGTTTAGATTTTGTATTTTTCAGGTTCTGTGCTGCTTTAGTGGTGGGTCTGAGCTTCACACTGGGGATGGTGAGCTGTGCACAGAGCAGGGAGACAAAACAATTCCTGCTCCAGCTGGGCACCAAGGACAGATGATCCAAATCTCAGCCCAGGAGCACAAAGCCCGTGGAATGAAGAGAGGAAAACAAGGATGGGACTGCAGGGGCTGCAGTGGGATTGGACACTGAGCTGCAATGTGCACATGGAGCAGAGCTGAGCCCAGGGACAGAGCCGTGACCCTCGTGCATTTTGGGGCCATTTGGGTTCATCTTGGGTGCAGCCCTGGCTGGGCTCTGCTGCTGCCCAAGGTGCATCCGTGGAGGAGATCCTTGTAATAAATCCCTGCTTTACTCTTTACCTTTGTCCAGTCTCTGTTCTAGGTCAGCTTTCCCAAGGCATCACTTGCAGCTCCCCAGAGGTGAAATTTCAGCCTTTTGGCAGCACAAAACTCTGCTGAGGAAAGGCCAAGGCACAGACAGAGCTGCAGTGAGGTGCTGGACATCCCTGGGTGGGCAGGCCCTGGCACAGGTGCCCAGAGCAGCTGGGGCTGCCCCTGGGTCCCTGGCAGTGCCCAAGGCCAGGCTGGGCACTGGGAGCAGCTTGGGACAGTGGAAGGTGTCCCTGTCCAGATTATCTTGAAGGTCCCTTTCACCCCAAACCATTTTGGAATTCTCTGATCTTTCCCACCTCATCAAGTCGCCTGGGTCACTCTCATGGTAGGCTCTGCTACAGAGTCCAACAAAGACCCTTCATTTTCTCTTGTGGGGCTACTAAACCCCATCCTTTCCCACCTTCTCCTCTTTTGGGAGCTCCACGCTCCTGTCCAAGCAGAAATCTGAGATCCTGAGCAGCTGTGCTGTTGTGACAACCCAGAAATGAACCCATCAAAGCCCCACAGTTTTCCACGACCAGAAGCAGAGTAAGTTCTGATTTTTCACTGAACAACAATGAGAAACTCCAGACAGAACATGCAGGTAGCAATGGTTCTGTGCACAGAGCATCTTTCTGCAGATGTTATTTAAGAAAAACAACCCCTGCATTGAAGATGACTCCAAATACACCATTTCCACTCCCACTGACCACTCCAGGCTCAGCAGGGGCCCCAAAGCAGCAGAAAAACTGGGGGAAAGAGCCAGACACAAATAAAGGGTGAATAAATGAGCACTGAAGGACCCCAAAACGCATCAGCAACAAGTTCTTTGGGGGATGTTAAAAGGAAACACTTCTCAGTGAAGCTGAGAGCTGAAACACACGGGGCCAGCTCCTGTGCCACTTCTGCATCCCCTGCACCACCACTGCATCCATCTGCTCAGACTTCCTGCCTGCAACATTGTCAAGGTATTATAAATTAAGAAACTTAGCAAAGAGTCTGTAATCTTCCCCGAAATAGCCTGCAGATATGTCACTGTACTAAATGTGTTTCAGATTTAATGAAGCTTTAATGTCCTTTTTAATTTTGCCTGTTTCTGTATCACCAGGGGTCGAGCGAGGCAATCAGCACTCGAGAGGGTGGTTTGGTTTAAAACTAGGAAAAACTCATTTGCTTATGAGTTGCACTGTATTTTCTTAATTAAATTTACTAAGTAAAACGGTTTAAGTTCAGCCAACCAGTGACCTCTGGGTGTAGATTTAGATTTATAAAAAGTGTCACTGTTAAAGACAGACCAAAAAATAAAAAAAAGAAAAAACAAACCCAAACAACAAACAGATGAGAGATTCACTAAAGGGATTTTCAAATTATCATTTGTCTCAAGGAAGTCACAGGATCACGAGGAACAAGCCCAGTGAAGGAGGGAAAAACCAAAACCTACCACATGAATTCATTGTCCAAAACTTCTCTGCATGTAAAGGATGAAACTCTGGAACTTGCAACTCTTTTGAGGTATTCTAACAAAAATACAATATTCCAGTTTAAATTGGTTGGGTTTGGGAACTGATCAGTGTTTTATGTCTGGATACTGAGGAGGGAATGCCTGAAATTCAGGGAGCTGCTTCCCATTTCCCCATGGATCCCTTCAATGGCTGGATTTGATGATCTTGAGCTCTTTTCCAACACAGAACTGTAAAAACCTTCACCTTCAAAAGCCCAGTGACCTGCAGTGGCAGAATGGTGTGGAAACAGAAACAAGAAGGGGATCAATCACCAACAATGATGTTACTAAAACACTTTCTCACCCTGTTTCACCTCAGAGCAGCTCCATGAGGAGTTTTTTGGGGTGTGGGTGTGTGCTTTCTACAACAATTATTTTTTTTAAACACAGAGGTAGCTCAGGGGAGCAATACAAGCAGCTCAGGAGGTTGTGTGGAGAAAGAGACTCCCCAAGGCCTGGCCTGGGGATGGATGGGTGAGATGCACCAGCAGATTTCAAAGCAGTGCTTGACAAACTGAGAAATAATCCCAGGTTATGAAATAACAGAGGTGCAGTGGGCGTGTGTATGCTGACTTTTACCAAACCATCAAAAATTTCTGATTTAAAAAAAAATCAAAATTTCAAATGATTAAGTGTTGATTCAGGAAGAACCTCTGGACTGAGACCAGAAGTAGGAGTGGAAAGTAACTAAAACCTGCTCTCAAACACTCTTAAGGTGCAGATAAATGAACCCAAAATTCAAATCTCTTGTTGAAATAATGTAATTTGCCATTTTAGAACTGAAAAGGCAAATCCACGAAGCCCCCACCTTACACATCACTTCCTTTAGCTCACTTCTTCTTGCCTGCTGCACATTGTGAATAAAATTACAGCAGCAGCTCTGTCTGGATCCTGTTTGGAAGTGGCTGAGGGAAGGAAGTTCAAAACATATTTTCAGGACACTCAGGCAATAAAGTTTCCCACTTAGATTATTGTCGATGTTTTGCAAGTTGTTTTTTAATTTACAGTTACACTGGAGAGCACGGGATGCTTTTATTCTTAATTCAGGCACATTCCATGTTTCTCAGCATAACTGCAAATTGAAAATAAGCGCTGGCAATATCGCCAGTGATGGAGCTGAAGGAGGACTTTATAGTCTGAAATGTTCTAAAATTTGTTCTTAATTACCTCGTGCACATTTTACACAATTAAATTTCCATCCCAGGATTTTGCATTTAGATTGTGCACTGCAGTTAAACCCTCATTTTCTGGAAAGGCAGCCGCCACTCCGCCGCGCTCAAACTTTCAAAAGCAGACTTAACTACTGGATAACACAAAATTCCCCAGGTGGAATTCCATTCCAAGACCAATTTATACATTCCTAGATAGATGGGCTTCAAATCACCTGAAACTCTG